TGGCCTCTGCCTTGGCCTTTGCCTTGGCCTCTGTCTTGGCCTTTACCTTGGCCTCTGCGTTGGCCTTTGGCTTGGCCTCTGCCTTGGCCTTTACCTTGGCCTTCAGCTTGGCCTCTGCCTTGGCGTGGCTTCCCAGATCCAGCTGGGAGGCAGCCATGGATAACTTCCGCTCCAACTTCAGCTGCTGGATGCACGTCTCCTTGTGCAACGTCTCAACCCAGCTGTGGGGCCGGTCTGGGCACCGCCCTGCCCTGGGAACCGGCTGCTCCTGCGTGAGGCCAGAGGCCATGGCCTTCTGCAGAGGGTTCTGGTGCTTGTCATTGCCCAGCGGGGCCAGCTCCACCTTGCTGACTGTCACCTCTGGAGCGTCACTGCTTTGGAGCTGCTTTGCTCGAGCTTTGAGCACTGGAGGGAGACAGAGAGAGGTGATGGGACACAATGCACAGCAGAAGGTTCTGTCCTGCCCTGGGCCTCACTCTGGGACCACCAGGAACATGCTCAGAAAAGAGAAACCACACAAAGACTTTATCCCCCCTTGGCCAGCCCCACTCCCAGACACAGATTCTGAGCACTGTCTCTCTGGGATCCACCTGCAGGTTGGGGCCTATCCCAGCATCTCAGGAACCCACTCCAGCATCCCGAGAACCAAGCTGTGGCTGGCTCACTACAGCTCTCCCAGCACTCACCTTCCAGCAGCTCCATCCTCTCGCAGGTGCTGTTCCTGTTCGCCTTCTCCTTGGCGCTGGCGGATGAGTAGCTCCTGAGGACGCTCCACGGAACCCCTGCTGTGGAAAAACACGAAGGTGCAGGGGGTCAGAGGAGGCTTCACCCCTCAGAGTGCCCCCAGCCCCCCAGCCCCACGGTCAGGCCCCAGCTGGGCACAGAGGTGACAGTGAGCGAGTGGCTTTTCTCAGCTCAGCTGCCCCAGAAGCAGCGCACGAGGGCCGGAAGGGGCAGGAGGGACAGGGACGCCCCTCACTCCCTAGATCCGGACGCTCGGAGGGAACGTGACCCCAGGGACACCACGAACCCCAGCGCTGCGAAAGGGGTGGCAGAGCCCCAGGACCCTCAGCGCGGGCAGCGCTACCCCACAGCTGGGACGGGACGCAGAACCCTCCCGTTCCTGTTCTCTGGAGAGGAACAACATCCCAGCACCTCCACGGTCCCGCCTCTATCCCTGGGGGCCTCACGGCGCAAAAACACCCTCTCAGCTCTGTCCCAGCGGGGAGGGCCTGGGACGGGGCGGGAACGCCGCGGCCCGCAGCTGCGTCCCGGGGGATGCTCGGGACCGAGGGCCCCCTCTGCCCGCCCGGGCCCCGTGCCCGCCCCTGCCCGAGCCCCGGTGCCCGCGCTCACCGGGCCCCCTCAGCCCGCCCGGGCCCCGCAGCGCCGCCCGCAGCCGCAGCAGCGCCATGTCCGCGCCGCGCGCGCCGCCCCGCAACGCGCATGCGCCGCGGCGCCAGTGCTGCCGCGCGGAACGCCGGGAGCGCGAGTCCCGCTGTGCCAAACCACAAGTCCCATGGTGCACCGCGGCCGCGCCACCGGCCCCCTCCATGCCTTCCCTGCACCCCTCCCGCGCCCCCTGGCGGCCGTGACGGCCCCGACGGGGCGGGACCGGGACCGGGACCGGGACACGGGACACGGCGGGACTGGGACCGGGACCGGGACACGGGACACGGCGGGACCGGGACACGGCGGGACCGGGACATGGGACACGGCGGGACCGGGACACGGGACACGGCGGGACCCGGAGGGACGGCGGAATCCGAGACATGCCAAAGCCTGCGGGGGCGGCGAAGCCCGGGACACGGCAGCAGAGCGCGGGGGCGGGGGAGCCGGGACACGGCGGAGCCCGGCGGGGCCGTGGAGCACGGGGGACGGTGGAGCCCCGCGCCCCTCATGGCCCGAGCTCGGCGCTCTTCGGTCGGGACAGCAGGCATACACCTGCACCCTCGGGTCCGGGGCCACGTCTCTCCCCTGACACTTTCCCCGGGGCACCCGTTTCCTGCCCACTCGTTGCCACCGTCGGTGGATACTGGAGCGTGCGGTCCCCAGCCGGGCGCCCCAGGGCAGCCGAGTGACCGCGGCCCATAACCCGGGGCTGCCGTCGGGGCGCGGATTTATGAATGGGAGGCCCCGCCCCGGCCCCGCCTCGCCCCTTGGCCACCGCCCCTCTCGGGCCGCCCCTCCCTGGCCGCCCGCGCCGTCGGGGCCGGTCGCCGGTCGCGGCCGCGGCGATGGCCCATCGCCTGTCGCCCGCCGCCCGCCCGCCGCCCGCCGCCATGAGGCGCGGGGGTCCCGCTGCCATCGCCGCCTGCCTCGCCGGGGCTCTCGCTGTGCTGGCGGGACCGGGGCCGGGCAGTGCCACTGGGACCGGCCGGCGACCCCCCCGCAGCTACGGGCACCTGGAGGGCGACGTGCGCTGGCGGCGACTCTTCTCCGCCACCCGCTTCTTCCTGCGCATCGACGGCGGCGGCGGCGTGGAGGGGACGCGCTGGAGGGAGCGGCCGGGCAGTGAGTGTGGCCGGGGCCGGGGCCGGAGAGAGCCGGGGCCGGAGAGAGCCGGGGCCGGGGCCGCCCCCCGCGGCTGCCCCTCGCCCACGGCGGCGAGAGCCCGATCCCGCCGGGTGCCGGGGCTGCGGCAGAGGCGGGCGCTGCCGGGGCGGAGGCTGGACGGGGATGCGTCGGGACGGCGACGGGACCCTCCGCGCCCGGCCCGGAGATCGCCCGCAGCTCCTCCCGCTGGCGGAACCTCAGCCAAAGCGCCTCCTCCTCTGGGGGCGCGGGAGCGGCGGGAGCTACTGTCCCCTCCGTCCCCGCTGTCCCCTCCGTCCCCGCCGGGCGGGACACGTCACTCCTCGAGTACAACCTGCTCCGGCTGCCCTCGCCCCAGGAGCTCCTTCCCGAGGCTCGGCCGCCGCTGCACTGTGGGAGCCGTGAGAGGGGCGCGGGCGCCGGCGGGCACTGCCTGGGGACCCGGCATTGCTGGGGTGACCGGGGGAGGGGTGTTGGTCCCTTGTCCCACCTCGTCCTGCCAGCGCAGGCATGAGGGCATCCGCCTGCCCTGCCTTCCGCGTGGACTGAGGGGATCTGATCTACCCCCGCAAACACACTGAGGAGGATAAAGGCTGAGGAGGAGGGACATAGGAAGCTTCGCGGTGATGCTGGTCCCAGAACGGAGCAACCCTCAGGTGTAGGAGAGTAGAGCAGCCCTGTTGGACGGGACCACTCCACAGTCTCTGCCTGTGGAGTGGTTTGGGTCTTGGCACAGGGACATCTGGGTGGGCAGAGGGGCAGAGTTCCCAGAGTCCCCAAGGACTTGGCACCCACTGTATGTACTTCAGCAAGAGTCAGGGCTGCAAGGATCCAGGTTTCAGCACATCAGGGTGGGGAGTCTCAGCCCCTGTGACAAGGAAAGGGCACTGAGTTGGCAGAACAGTGGCTGGATGGGAGGGGCCTTGGGAAAGGGAGATGCCTGAGCATCACTGGGGTGCCCTGGCAGGCTGTTGGGGCCTGGGGCAGGAGGAATGCAGTACCCCCAGCCCATGTCCTGGTCTGGCAGGGGCAACCCTCTCTCCTGGCCAGCACAGGATGAGGGAGCCCAGCCCAGCCCAGGGAACCCTCCTGTGGTGTCAGAGGCTGTTGGGAGTCCCGACCAGGCACGTTGCCAAGACAAAGCACCCCAACACGTTCCCTCGGCTGGGCGGCCATGGGGCCTGGCAGGCAGAGCAGCCCTGGGCTGTTGCACGGGGCTCACTCTGCTTATCTGAGTGTGCCTGGGCTGGGCTCCCCTCCACAGCCCTCGCAGAAGCTGCTGGACCAGCCCCACTGGCAGCTGCAGGCTGGCGGGGGATCTCCCAGGGACTCCCCCACCTCAAGCCCTGCTTCTGCCCCAGCCTGCTCGGGACCCCTCTGGGGGCTGAGAGTGTGAGACTGGGGGTACTGGGAGCTGTCTCTGGGCAGGGACTGGCCAAGCACCTGCAAGCAAAGCACGGCAGAGCCGGCCAGGGCGCCAGGGACAGCAGCAGGGGGTTATTTTTAGAAAAGCACAAGTCCTTTCTTATAAATAGCATCAGCTCCAGACTGTGATCCAGCAGGACAGATTCACAGCTCTTCTCCTCCACTGCTGCTCATCAGTGGCTTCACTGGGCCAGGCCCTGCAGATGCTGGCGATGCCAGGGGATTGGTGCCTGGTGAAAGCCCCTGCTCAGGGGCTGCAGCCCCCCACACTGTGTGTGCTGCCACCAACCAGAGCCTCTGCGTGTCCTCCCTCGCTGTCCAGCCGGGACAGCCCCTGCAGTGGTGCCCATGGGCAGATCCTGCTGTGGCTCCTGCCCTGCCCCCTGCCCTGCCCGCTTTGCTTCCCCTGGAGATTCCTTCTCCCCTTTCCACTGTGCCGTGTGCCTGGCGGGCAGCAGGGCAGGCAGCAGCACTCCGGGCTGGCTGGCGTGGGGCAGTGCAGGAATCCAAAGCCCTGATGATGCTCTGGGTGTTTCCCATGCCAGAGCCTCTGGTCTGACCACATGCCTTTCCCATTAGCGGCCGTGCTGGAGCTCGACAGTGGGGCACACACACGCCAGCCCAGCCGTGGCTTCACAGCCCGGCTGCAGACACCTCCTGGGCTCATCCCCATGTCCTGCAGCACTGCTGCATCCGCCAGCCCACAGTACTGGGCACAGAGCTGTGTATGCTCGCTTGTGCCAGCTGGGCAGTCAGCACCAGCATCCTCAGGCAGCACCGTTCCGGCCCCATTCCTGCCCCCTCACGCCTCTGCCCACGTGCCTCCATCCACCATAACACAGGGTGTGCCCTGTGTGTGCCACCCCCGCGCACACTTTGCCCCTCCAAGGGCCGTGCCAGCCTCGATGCCCTGCATGTGTCAGGGCCAGGTGCTGTGGGGGGCAGGTCATGTCCCCGAGGCACTACAGGCCCATTGGGGACGGATGCGTTTGCAGAGCTGCCAACGAGGGGAGGACACACGCGAGGTCGGCACTGGGCAAGTGGAGGTTGTGCTTGGCATTGCTCCCATACAGCCCAGCTCCTGGGAAGCAGCTGCATCCTGGGGAGGAGAGGAGTAAAGATCAAACCTTCTCTGGAAAAGAAATTCCCCCTCCCACTCCCAGCTTGTGCCACAGCTCTTGTTCCCACTGTCCCTCTGGCTGCTCCTGCTGTGGGCAAGGATCAGCAACCCCATCCCTCTGGGGGGACACTGTGGCCACAGATCCAGGATCCCTGGCTCATGCTGGGCTTCCCTGTCCCACAGGCATCGTCGAGATCCGGTCGGTGCGTGTTGGTGTCGTGGCCATCCGGGCGGTGCACACCGGCTTCTACCTGGCCATGAACAAGCGGGGGAGGCTCTACGGGTCGGTAGGTCGGACGCTGCCTCCTGGGAGGGACTGCACTGGGGTCAGAGGTGCAGGACAGAGTTGCAACAGGGGGTCCCAGACCTGCTGGGACCGGTGCCCAGGAGCAGGGTTCTGGTTTTCCATGCCCTGACATGCTCCCCAGCAGGGACCGAGCCCTCTGACCTCTGGGGACACAGGGTCCTGCCCAGCCCCACCTGGGGTCCGAGGGACCCCAGCCGAGCACAGCCACCCTTCACCCCCTTCCCTCTCCTGCCAGAAGGAGTTCAGCCCCAACTGCAAGTTCACAGAGCGCATCGAGGAGAACGGCTACAACACCTACGCATCGCTGCGCTGGCGGCACTGCGGCCGCCCCATGTTCCTCTCCCTCAACAGCAAGGGCAGGCCACAGCGAGGGGGCAAGACACGCCGGCAGCACCTCTCCACACACTTCCTCCCCATGCTTGTTGGCTGAGCGACACGAGCAGCTCCGGACAGTCCTGTAGGAAAAAAACCAAGAAAGGATTCTTTTATTTATGTACATATCTATTTTTTGCTATTTATTGCTTTATTTTTAATGCATGGTGGAGGATGGATGCAGAAGGCAGATGCTCCAGACTTGGCTTTGCAGGGCTGGGGCTGTCCCACCATCCTGCTGGGGCAGAGCTGGTGTGGCACAGCTGGGGAGTGTGGCCACTGCATGCCAGGGCCAAGGGCGTGCCTGGAGCAGGGCCTGGGGTCTGCTAATGGCATCTCTGCAGGGCTGGGATGTACCAGCCGGTTGTCTGTGTCCGAGCACCCATGGCAATTAAAGCTGTGTTCATGGTATGGAACAGGAGAGGACTTGGCTTGGGATGGGAGGGATTGGCTTCCCTGAGGTCGTGGCTCCAGCCCCCAGTGTCATCCCTGCTGCCACCAGCGGGGAGCGTGGCTGGTCCCCTGCCACATCGAGTTCTCCATCGAGAACCCACAGGAAAACAGCAATGATGGTTCAGCAGCTCAAAGGAGGGAGCAGGAGGAGCAGAACCAGGAGCCAGCCTGGATCCTCAGGCAGACACAGCCCCAGGGCTGTCCCTGGCTGCAGCCCGTGTCAGTCTTGTAGCCCAGCTTCACACCATCATTCCCAGCAAATACGGAGCTGGGACAGTGGACAGTGGCAAGGACCAGCCCCTCGCCTGGAGGGGAGCACGGCCAGGAATAGCACCCACACCTCGGCCTCCCGGCCAGGGCACATCCCTGATCCCTGTGCCGCCCTCGCACCCGCCGTGGCCAGGCCCAGCAGCCCGGTCACCGTCACGTCACACAGAGCAATGGCCCCAGCAAAAACCACCAAACTTGTTCCATTTCCGACCCAACCAGCTCCAAACGACTCTGAAAGGGAACACCACTGTGTTAACTGTGTGGTGACTGTGGCACTGGCCCCAAGCCCCTGCCAGGCAGGTGGCAACTGCCACACACCCACCTGGGGCTTTGCTTTGCCCACTCAAAACCCACCCAAGCATTGCTGACAAGTGAGAGATCACCCTGAGCACCAGGGGAGCCAGCAACCCCTGCTGTAGCAGAAACATGGTGGGAGAGGGAAGGTTTTTCCAGGTTAGGTGACTAAAGAGCAAAGCCTTCCCTTGGTGCTGGGTCAGCCGATGGACTCACGCAGGTTCAGCCAGGACCTTCTTGCTGCCACCCACTTCCCCAGACCAGGCTTCTGGCTCAACCCTTGGCAGAGGATGAGCCATTAACCACGACACACCAGTCCTGAGATAAACCCTCGTCCTGTGAGATGAAAGGCGCCGCTGTGCTGCCCTGCCAAGCCAAGGAGGAAAAACAGTCCGGGCGAGTCGCTCTGTGTCAGCTCCTGGCCCCGGCAGAGCTGCTGCCACCTGCCCCGGGGACACTTTCCCCAACAAATCAACTTCTTGTGTTCTGAAACGGCTCAAAAATGGCCGAATCAGCCACTGGCCTCCCCCCTCCTATAGGATCTTGTCCCTTCCCAGGAAGCTCTTGGGAGGAAGGGTCAGGTCTGGGGTGAATCTGCTTTGGAAGAGACACCCAAGCTCTGCTGGCACCAGCACCTTCCCCAGCTGTCCCAGCCCACTCCCAAGGCCCCAAGAGCCAGGGAGCCCCCCAAACTGCCAAACCCTCTGCCCACCCCACAGGGGCACAGTCCCTCTCGCCTGCTCTGGCCTCCATCGTGGACCCTGGCCCGTCAGGAGATCCGCTGACTGCCCCAAGTCCCTGCGAGGGGAAAGGGCTCCTGGTGACAGAGGGCGAGAGCACCAGGGCTCTGGTCCTCTCGTGCCTCCAGGCCTGGGGAGCAGGGACATGGCAGGGAGCGACTGCCCGCACCGGTCGCATTCTTGTCATTCTCCAAGCCCCAGCTCTGTCACAGAAACTGAGTCACAAACATACCTGGGTATTTTTCTCTCTCTCCTTTTTTAATCAGCTCTATTTTAAGTAGTTTTGCAATACATTTTTCTCAAAAAATGTTGTTTTCCTGGTAATTACTCAGTCACAATGAGATTTGCTGGTCCTCGCTCTGCTGCACACCCAGTCCTGTGTGGGCCCAGCGGAACAGCCCGCCCCAGCTGCGAGGGGGCAGGACTGCAGCACAGAGATGTAAAAAATAGAAAAGACCAGGCGAGGATGCTTCCAGACACGATCCTTGGTCACTGTGCAGTGCCCTGCAGGCTGGCAGCGGCTCCCACCAGAGCCCAGAGCTCCCAGCACGTGGGAGGGCTCAGAGAGGCCCAGCCTGCCCAGGGGAGGTGGGATGGCTCGGCGGCCTCGGAGCTTACCCTGTAGCTCTCCTCAAATCATGCATAACGGCTCGCAGAGCTGAAATGTCCATTTATTGACAGCAGTAATAATTTAAGATTATAAAAACCCTTTCAGTGTTGAGTATCAGCGGGCGAGGTTATAAAGAAAAATAAATGGGACTCAAGATGGGACAGGGAAGGATCCCGGGGTCTATTTGAGAGTTCCTGTTTCAGTGAGAGCTACTGGTCCTCCCCAGCTGAAGATCCTGGAGGGGAGGCAGCATCCTTACGCTTCCATTTTAGACTTCAATCTCCAAAGCAGAAAAGATAGTATCCAAGGGGAGGAGGAGCAAAAGAAATAAAAGAAAGGGATCTCAGATTCAAACCCATACAAACAACCTTTCCTTTTGGGATTCAACCACTCGCTCAGCACCTCGGGGTTCCCAGCTGGGAGCGCGGCAGCCTCGCACTGCAACGGGTAAAGTCCACGCACAGAGGATGTTTTTATTGACAGACAGAGCTCTTTCCCCCCTTTTTCATCACAGAACTTGAGGCTTCTCATCTCTGAAGGACCCAGAGTCTCCGTGTCTTCAGAAATCAAAAGGGAATTCTGGGGGCACTGCTCCCCCCTTGTCCCCTCCCCTCGCTCTGCTCTGGAAGCCCCTTTGGCTGCTTGTGGTGGCCAGGGAGGGAGGGGGGACAGTGGAGGGGGCCCCAGGGACAGAGGGTGTGTTAAGATTCATGAGTTGTTCGATGAGTTTTCATTACTTGGTGAGCTGGAGGAAGAGGAGGAGGAGGAGGATGACGAGAAGTTCATCCCTGTGAGTCCTGGGGGGTTTGTGGCAGTGTTTTGTCCACTTAAACTTTTCCGGCAGACAGGACACGTGTCATGCTTTGAGGAGCAGACAAAAACAAAACAAGAAATATGGAAAACTGATTAGAAACCCGATATGGGAGCAGCACTCGAGGAACAGGCTGGGATGACACTCCATCCTCTGATCGAAGGCTGTTCATGGCTCAAGCCTCACAACAGAGGTAGGAAAATATTTACAGAGGGGAGCAGAGGTGCTGCACGCCCTGGGCACTGCCCCCACACTCACCTGCTCCAGCCATGGGACAATGCAGCCGTCGTGGAACAGGTGATTGCACGGTAACTGCCGCACGTTTTCCCCGACTGTGTAGTCTTCCTTACACACAGGGCACTCCAACCCGGAATCTGCATCGCACAGGGAAAGCCAAGCACAGCTGAGCAATGGAGGAGAGAATGACAGACAAAGCCCCCAACTCGGGACCCATCACTCCCTCCCCTTCCCCAGCACTGCTCCAACCCTGCCGAGAGGAAAGCTTGGTGCTCTGCAGCCACTCCCCCATCCCACCACCTCCCCCTGCCCCGGGTCTGCCTCATCCTTCCCCTCCCTTCTGCTTTTCCATCTGAACTTCTCATAAGTTTGCCTCCACAGGGCAAATCCATCCAGCCTGCACTGCTCCTTTTTTTTGTGAGTGTAACAGAGCCACTTCAGCTCTCTCCCGTCTTTGAAACGTTTTAGGCCTTGAAGGTACAAGCAGACAAAATTCAAGTGCCAATAAAACATTACACAGAGCTTCCAGGGAGCTCTCTCTGCATGGCTGCCCGGAGCAGACACATACCTACGTGCTCCTGTGTGATCTGTATGGTGGGGAGGGCCTGGATCTTCTCTTTGTCCGCTGGCGGTGGTCCAGTGTTTTCAAATTGATTCAGTAACTGGAAAAACAACCGGCCAGGCAGGCAGAAGGGAGAGGTGAGCTCAGCAGTACAGAGAATCCACTTGTTTCCTGAGCCAGTGTGCTTGGGCCCCACATCGCCCACACTGCAGACCCCGGTTCCCATTCCTGCCCCCACAGTCCCTCACCCCCTGCACCACCACAGGTGCTGCCCCTTCTGCAGCACTGCACAGGAGGATGGAGACTCTGGTAAGTCCCAGTTTTACCTGTGTGATAATCGCATCCAGGCCGTTGGCACCCCAGGCGTAGTCCATTGGATTTGAGTGCAGGACTCCCCTGAAGAGCAAGGACAGCAAGTGAGTTCATCCGGGAGCACCACCGGGACACTGCCAGAGAGAGCAGCACATCCTCCAACTCACCAAGGGCCCAGGCCTAGGTTTGGAATTGTGGTTGGTGCAATAATTCCATTGACCAGCTGCTGGATAATTCTGAAAGACAAGAAAACCAGGATTGTGTAAGAATTAGTCTGCTGGCTCCCAGCCCAGCACCCAGACGTGGAGGGAGAGGCTGAATACTGTCACATTGTCAGGGGAAAGAAAAGATTCCCTGTAGCAATTGCAATTGCAGCTTATAGAGTGATAGGCCATGGATAAAGTTTCAGTATTTGATTCGTAAGGGGACAATTCCTGACACCACAGTGAGTGGCTCCCAGGACGCAGTTACACAAACAGCATCTGGTGCTTTCTGCTGTTGCCCCTCATAGGGAGTACAACACTTTGCCAACGACCAGGGAATATTTTCCCACTGCAGGACAAAGTCCCAGCCACAGGCCATGCCACTGCTCATGTGAAACAGCCCCGACAGACCCCAGGTAGGAGCTGCCAACAGCATCAGGCCCAGCTGGGGCCCAGCTGGCACCCAAGGCAGTGCTGGAGAGCTCTGGGAAGCTGCTCCCCAACCCGGGGGAAAAGGCACAGGCTGATGCTGAGCTCAGTCTCATCAGTGAGGAACACGATTCTCACCCTTCCAGCGTGGGGACGCCCTCGTGCCGGCCCGAGGCGCGGCGCGTGGCCAGGCGGGCGC